AATTTTGCAGAACAGATATGTGGGCAGAAAAGTGGACAGATGCTTTTATCATCAGAATACATAGTCTGTGAGGAGTCAGAACAGCTACTCCCAAGAGTTTGTTTTTGTCAACAGACAGTCTTAATATTCCTCCCCCAAAATAGCTCAAATTGCATCTTCAATTCTTCACTTCCAAAGAATTGTTTCCAATTCTTTTTGCAAATTAAATTGACAGCCTGTGTCATGAGAACTGCTTGAATTCCCATAAGCTTTCATACCAGGACCAAAATCTGGCTATAAGTTGGACTTATGAGGGATAGACTGTGATTCTTATTTCTGACAGGTTGTAGTATCTTCTAACACAAACAGTAGCATGAAATTGATACTTTCTGAGCCATTTTCCAGATTTAACTAAAGAGCAATGCAAGTATTTTCATTGGATCTTACACATTAAACTTCATGAAGATCTTCTGACTCTAAGAAATAAATTCTTTTTCAACAAGCAACCAACAACGACAGAATGAATTGGTCAGGCCTAATAGTGACATTCCTAGTGTGGATGCCCATGAAACCTTTATGAAGAAAAAGTCTCTAGAATAAAATCTTGAAAAATGTCTATTATTTGTAATCTAGGATTACTAAAACAGGGTCCAATAGTATTTGTGGTTGTTGGGTACCTTTACAAATCAGCATCATCTCTTAAATGCATTTAAACATGTCTGGTATTCATGGAAACAAAATAATTTAGATTTTTTACTTTTGTGCTCTTACCTACTTGGATTATTCCTTTAATAATACCAATAGATAGTATTCAACATTAAAACATTATCCAGATTGATATTTTTTCTCCCAGCTTTTGAGCATCCAGTGCAACACTATGTATATGTATTTTCCATTTAGAATTTAAAAGGCATTAAATGCTGCTTTGAATGGCTGTAAATAGCATTTAGTACATAAATGTGTAAATAAATTGCTTAAATGATAGAATAAGTTGTGTGATATTTGCCAGGGGCTTTGCTGATATGAAGGCTTTTAACTGCCTTAGGTGTGTTACTGAATTATGGAATCCCTTTGATCTTTTATGTCACCTTAAAAAATAATAAGGCACCTCCAAGAGCACTGTTATATTTTTTTTCTCAGTTTATTTTGAATTATTGTTAATTACGAGACTTTAGTCCATTAATGAACACTACAATGCACTTTCTGTTTCTTGGTTATTATTGTTCTTGTTGCTGTAGGGCAGCACTTGTTAGTAGTCATTGTGATTCTCCTTTCTGAGTTCAGTGGGATAATTTTAATTTGCAGATTTTTCTGGAGGAGTGTCTTGCACTGAGAATTTTTGTTTCATATGCAGGTTGGTGCAGTGCACTGGGCAGAAGTGCAGACTGAAATGAACATTAATAAAGTTCAGTGAGAACATTATTAAACATTCAAATCCAAAATGTGGATCAAAACATGACTTTTCCCCAAATTTGAACTCTGATTTTGCAGTGAATTACGAGTTTGCTGTAAATTTCATGCTGTGAATTGAACACATTTCTGAATATTTGAACATTAAAACCAACTTACACAACCTGACAGTAAAGTTTAAAAAAAAATTAGTACAAAAGTTATCACTTCTTTTTATACAACATGTCAACTAGGACTTCACAAGTATTATTGCAAGAAAATTGAAATTTTTTTCTAACCATCCAAATTATGTTGGTAATGATTATTCCAATTTGCAGTGTAGTGACAATATTTCATAGCTCTTGCCTGTAGTATGTGAAGATTTTCTTAAATAAGAATTTTGAAATATTTACTTTGTAATAACATGCCACAGTATTGAATTTGTTTGGCTTGTACAAGAAAAAAAAATTGTTAAATTGTTTTCTACAGGACTAAGTGTTTTAGCTGAACTGCTCGAGAACCTTGCTAACGATGTGCTATCATCAATGTTTTCTCAATTCTTTTACTCTTAAATTTATTGCATACAATGCAGTAAATATATATCAGTTTGCAGCTAGAGAAAAGCTATTTAATAAAATTATGTCATTTGAGAAAGTGTAGATGTCATAACTGAAAATACACCAAGCACACAGAACTATCATTACTGAATATATTACCTCTCCATCAAGCTTCCAATGCTTCTTGCAATGTTTTTTTTTTTGGTATTAACATTGCTGTATTCCCTTAATATAATTCTAACTTTCTCCATTATTACCTACATGCTGCAATATGCATTCTGTATCAGCTTTATGCTCGTTGGGCTGAGGTACAATCTTAATGCTTCTTTCAAGCTGCTAAGATACTGTTTTCATTGCTTTCATTGTGATTGTTTACTATTCCATAGACTTCTGTATTTTTTTGAAGTGCACTTTATGAACCAGAAAATTTCCCATTCCCATGAGTTCTAGAGATCTATTCTTATGCGTTTTGTTAAGCTGTACAATTCTGCTGCCCCTTAATATAATGCTGGAAAACTATTATCAGAATACCATTAATTTTGGTTAACAGACTTCTGCCTGGAAGCAGTAAGCACTGTAATAGTTTTTGTTTTCCAAACCTAGTGCTGCTGCTTACTCAAAGGTAAAGCATTTTCAAAAGGGTTAAATATTTCATGTTGTGTATTCCATATAAGAAAGTGTGATTCACTGTTCATTTTAAGCTCAGATGTGATCTTCATTAAGGCTTTCTGCACTTAATGAAACTTTTTCCTGAAAAAAAATAAGCAATTTCAGAGGGTCAGTTCAGGTTGCACATTAAAATTAGCGTCAATGATGGGATGAATGTACTATAAAATTCTGCTTGTAAAGCTGACTCTTTTCTTCAATGGAGGCTTGAAACATGAACGTTATATTCTCAGGTCATCACTGCAGAAAAAAAGAATATATTTTCCAAAACCCTTTTACTCTTTTGGATCACGCAGTGGCAAAAGTGTACTGTATCTTTCTTTGATTTTCTTCTTCAGAAAGGGTGGAGCATTACTACATGCTTTGCCATTCAAACATTCCTGGTGGTTCTATTTTCAACTCCGAATTTTTAGATTAGTAACAGATGTGCTGATTCTTTCAACTGAAACGGAGTGGAAGTTTTTCTACTATACTTTGAATAGTTTTAAAACTTTTACTGATTATTGAACCCTGAATGCTAACTTGCATTACCAGCCTTCAGTGTAAACAATATCTTATACCACAAAAATCTCACTGAAGTCAGGGGGGAGAAATTCTGAAATAAGCATCATGAGGTGCAGCAAAATATAGTCCCGAATGAGTTTAAAATGCAGTTCTTTTTCATGCAAACTGATCAGGACCCAAATAGGTGTAGCATTCATGAATTGCATGGCATAACTTTTAGGTACATTTTGTTAATATGCCTCATCCCCATGTACACCAAAATTGCAAAGTACATAGACAGGAAAATAGTTTGCAAGCTTTGTAGGTTGTTGGTAATGGTTATTCATTGGCACAAATCATATAGAAAATTCTTGCACAGCAAAACTCCCAATAAACTTTGGTACTCTTGTCGCAACGGATTTGATTTCCCCTTTGACAGAGGGATATCTGGAGTGATAGCAACCCTGAGGAGAAGTTTTGTGAATGTCAGTTGATGAAAGATTCAATATGAGCCAGCAGTGTGTGTTTGCAGCCTGGAAGGTCAACTGTATCCTGGGTTGCATCAAGAGAGGTGTGACCAGCAGGTCAACGAAGATGATTCTGCCCCTCTATTCTGCTCTTGTGGGACCTCACATGGATTATTGTATCCAGTTTTGGAGCCCCCAGGACAAGGACATGGAGTTGTTGGAGCTGGTCCAGAGGAGAGCCACAAAGAGGATCAGAGGGCTAGAACACCACCTCTATGACAACAGGCTGAGGGAGCTGGAGCTCTTCAGCCTGGAGAAGAGAAGGCTCTGAGGAGATCTTACAGCATCCTTCCAGTACCTGGCCTTTAGGAAAGATGGGGAGCAACTTTTTATACAGGCAGGTGGAAACAGGATGAGGGGAAATGGCTTTAAGCTGGAGGAGGGCAGATTTAGACTAGATATTATGGAGAAATTCTTTACTGTAAGGGTGATGAGACACTTCATCTTGTTGTCTGATAAGGCTGTGGATGTTCCAAACCAGAAGCATTCAAGACCAGGCTGGATGGGACTGTGAGCTACCTGGTCTAGAGGGTGGTGCCCCTGCCTGCAGCAGGGGGCTTGGAACTATATGATCTTACAGGCCCCTTCTAACCCAAAACATTCGATGATAGCTCTGGAAAAGAAAAACAGGCTTTGATTTATTTATTTATTTTAAATGTCATGCATAACTTCTTATTTAGATCTGTGGATCATTTAGCAATGAGAACTGGTAAATAATACAGATCGTAATACTTTCCTGTAGTATTTTGAAAAAAGATTTGAAGGCCAAATATGTTATGACTTTCTGGTGCCAGAAGGAAATAAATCCAATATTGAAAGTCTAAGTGGCAGAAATCAGCTATTTTTGTAGCCACTATGTCTGATTTACTAAAAGGGGATAACATTCACTGAGGAATATGAAACACATGTAATTAAAATAATCTCCAGTTTTTCTCTTCCCGGAGTACTGAAAATGTTCAAGTCATGTCTTGGGGTAAATACGATAAAGGGGTGAAAGAAATACTGAAGCAAAGTGCAGCTTGGTGTTGTGAAAATCCTTCTAATATTCTTATACTTCAGAATATTTTCAATACTTTAAGATTTCATTCATTGGTTTTATTTATCAAAAATTTAAGTTGACTTTATACAAAGTTTATTTTGCATAAAGTCAACTCTAGATAGAACTTATTCAACACGAGATTTCAGATTTTGTTTCTCCAAAGTGAAACTGAATTAACTTGCCAGGTAAAGACTTTTCAGTTCTTTCGTGAAAAATTCTTTCCTGTTGGTGGGCATCAGAGCATAATCTGCCTGATTCTTTAAGATGCTTTGGCTGATCTGTCTAAAATGGGATAAAGGAAATGTGAAATGTTTGCCTCTTATTCACTCTGACACAGTTCCTGTCTTTTTCTTGAGACAGAAGGAAAGATGTCACTTGGATGTCATGAGGCTTTTGAAGTTTTCATGCAGGACCATGCTGACAGTATAACCATTGAGGACAACAAACAGCTTCTCAAACAGAGGTGAGTGTCCCAATAAGGTACAGCTGGAGAGAGGCATCTGAGAGAGGCATCTTCATTATAAGCCTGGGAGAAGAATGCATAATTTTAGATCGGGGGTTCTGTGTTTCTACTCAGAATTTGGTGCAGAAACTTAGCCTTTTCTGACAGGGAGATTTCTTATTTGGAGGGCACTGAATGATGACAGAATGAAAGTCTGAAGAGAATACGATAACGGTATTAGTGGTCTCAGAGCTTCTTTCCTCTGGTTTTATTCATCTTATCTTTGTAGCCCTATGGAAGCAATGTGGTAAATGGCATTCATGATCATGAATTATTGAGAGGAAGCTAGATTCATGTGACTAAATTGATTACTGTAATTTCCATTGTCAAAAATGCTTTACTGGCTTCAGCACTAAATTGGACAGTAAAGCAGGAGATGTTTAACAGATGCTTTGGTCTGTTGCTCCTAACTTGTTTGCCAAGTGATTTTAGGTTCTCTCTTCCTGTTTTGCTCTCTAAAACAGAAATAATGTTTTATCCTTTCACGTTTGTTGTTAACACTAGAAAAACACTTCAAAATCTTCTGGTGAAGATGGTGAGAATGGTGAAATATTAACATGATTTTTCATGTTGCATACTTTACACATCTCAAAAAATAAACCGTCAAGGCTTGTTGTCTGTATAACAGTACTGTTTCACTGTCAGTTTTGCAAGCGTTAATCCTCCATGCTCTGTAAGAGAAATATGACATTTTTAGCTTAGGCATGCCAAAAGCAGATCTCTCAGTGTGCCCTTCCAACCTGATGAGGATTTACTTCATTTCTTTTATGTTTTTGCTTGATTTTTTTCCTCTTCTTTTTCCCCTTGAGTCTCCTTCTCAATATCTTATCTGCTTTCTTATATTTCACTAATAGAACAATTTTCCTACTAAACAGGCATGCAGGACACTATTTTCAGCATCACTGAATCAAATATTCATTTATTTCCTCAAAACTCAGGCAATAAATGATCTCCATGTCTTTCTGGCTTACTCATGATCTTGCTACTTACCATTTTTGTGAACTGGTTACTTTTCTATCCAGGTCTATCACTTGCAGCCACAGGTGCATAACTGACAAAGTATTAGATACACATAAAATGTTATGCATGTAAATCAGACCTTTAATAACATCTTCTGTTTGATCAATAGATGATGCCACATATATCTTGCACTGCAATAATTTCTGATGTTGCTGTCCATTAAGAGAACACTTCATGGTTACAGCATGATCATGGGAGCACAGCAGCTCTGAACTGTCTCCTGAATTTCTTCTAGTTAACCAGAATTTAACCACATTTTCTCTGATCATTATTACTATTGAATTAAACCAGTGTATACTTCTGATTTCAGAACATGTAATGGAGATGTGTGGAACCCACAGACTTTGACACCAGATTTTCTTTCCCTAAAAGACAAAGAGATTCAGACTCACAGCCCCTCTCTAATTTGCTGCAGCTGGTTGATGAAATTGGTGCTAATGTGAAGGCTGATACTTAGAAATGAGAAACAAGGTCTCCCATGTCATTTTACAGTAGATTTTAGTGAGATATTTGTAGCTCCAAGTATACTGAGTTCATTAAAATGGGTTTATATGAAGTCCAGTCTGTAATTTGGAATGCAACCTCTGAACCACCAGTTGCACAAAAACTGGGTTACCCAGCCAGTGTTCAAATTGCACAGGAAGACGTGTGGACACCAGATGTTTAAAGGTTACCATAGCTTCCCTTTACATAGAGATTTCTCATGTTAATATTTTTGTTTATAGTTACATAACAGCTTTTGTCATACCAACAACAGTATTTGGTTCAGAAAGTACTTATTTTTAGCTGTCATACTCTTTCCTTTGGATATTTTGGGTAGATTTTCTTTGGCTGTTATTTTTACTGTTCTTGTATTAATTGAATGGTGATTTGTCAGTGAGCGTAGTTCAAATTTTGACAGCAAAAGTCACAACTATTTCCCCGGCTGTGAAATTATTGACATACATGAATTGTGGATTCTCCCTCCTTGTAAAAAAAGCTGCCTGGACATGGTCCTGGGCAACCTGCTCTAGATGTCCTTACTTGAACAGGGATTGGACCAAATAACCATCAGAGGTCCCTTCCAACATCAGTCATGCTTTGATTCTGTGTGTATGCGTGTACTGTGTATGTGCATATGTTCTGTAACTGCTTATTTATGAACAATCAAATGTAATCATTTGATTAAATCAAATACTGAGAAATATCTATCTTGCCATAAAAACAAACAAACAAAAAAACCTAGAAAATCACATGAATAAAAGCAATACTGTTTCAAACATAAAACTTTTCACCTACTACTTCAGAGACCTTTACAGGGAATATAACTCAGTACTGTAACTTACTACCATGCCTGGATTAATGAAGGGGGGGGGGGGAAGAAAGCTTACTTAGTTAAAAATCATTTCTCTTTGAAGCTCATTTAATGACTTCCTGTCTGTGTGAAAGACAATAGATTGAGACTATCCCGTTAGTGCAATTGCCTATGGGAACTACTAGAAAAGTGGCCTTGTAAGACTGAAAAAGTTATCTATAGGTTAGTTTACAGTTAATTTTACAGTACAACTCTTTCTATTTTTCTTCTGTAGAACAACTGCAGTGCTGCTTAAATATCTATGCTGGTGCCCAGACAAAATGAGACTGCTGGAATTTGAACTTCCTATACCTGACTTTTTGAGGACTTAATAGTGTCCTGTTACTCAGTATAGTCATGTTCTCTTAAGAGTTGCTTCTCGAAGGAGGAGAAATCTGTCTCATTTTCTTGTGCAATAAAGCTAGAAATATTCCCAGCTAAGCCACTCCAGTGCAATATTGTATACGGCACAAAGCCTTTTAAATTCCATTCTAGTCAGTATTTCCAGTAGTAAAATTGTACTAAGTTCCCAGATGTAATGTAAATCTAGTTTCCCCTTTGATGTTCCTTATTAATTTTTTCCACTTGCCTCTTTTCTTGCTTTGTGTGTCTCAGCTGCTTAGCAGCTAAGTTGTTTTCTCAGTAGCTTGGTAGCTATGTATGAGTTTCACGGAAAAGATGTGTTTCACTTAAGTCACTCAGTTTCTAATTAGAAATGAATGAATGTTTGTATATTCCACTGAATATCTCTGCTGTCTCATTTGAATTTGTCTTGTTTTACGTTATAAGTTAGAGATTTGTTTTTCAAAATATTAAATTTTTAATTGCTGACCTTTGATGAGTTAAACCTTTGCAAAATTCTTGCTCCATGACAATTCTCTATTCATGTAGGATACTCATGGACTCTTTTGAGCTTACAATGTAATTGTTCACTCATTTTTATTTTTACCAATATGAACTTTATGAGAGATATTTTTTCTTAGAGTAGTCCTTTTCTTTCAATAAAATCAAATTTTGTCTTTATCATGCTTATTTAATTTTACTGTGATTCATATTCCCAGATGGAATTTCTTGGTCTTTCATAGACTAATGCCAAGTGTTAGTTATAGTGCCAGTTTATAAACTATGGGATTTGAGAAACAGATGCATAGCGCATTCAGCTAGTCCTGTTTTCAAGGCAACTAGTTACGGACACCGGCTGGATAGGCAGTTGGCTTCAACTTGTCCAACTGAATCTTATCTATGAACATGAATCAGAGCCCACTTTTGACTAGTTAATAGTTAGTTAATGAGGTTAATATTTGACCTATGGAAGCTGGAGGAAAGAAAGAGAGAGATACTTTTGTTTGTTCCCTTTAGATCTCTACACAGTCTTCTGTACTTGTTTGGGTATTCTAAGTCTGAAATAGTTCTAATGGTTATATAAAAGTCTCACAGATACTTCAAAGGCTTCTGCTTTCATTATGCAGGATATAGGAAGTCCTAAAGAATACCCAGCTGGAGCTATTTAGCTCTGTTAAATTCTGCCTTGAAAAATAAGTGTACAGATGTGAATGTGGTTGCCTGAAATTCCAGCTCTTTTGAATTTCACTTGGGAAATGAACTAATTGAGAAAAGGCAGTTTTCCAAGACCCTCTTCCCAATGGGATATTCATATCTATCTACTATGTTTTGCCATTATTTGAGTTAGACAGAAATACAATTTGTGGATCTCCTCAGCTATCCTGTCTGACCAAGGCTCATCCAGGTCAGTCACAGGCTTACTGAAAAATGGTGCGTTGCAGTTCTGTCTCCACATCCAACAGGGTTTGATTTGCAGAGATGAAAATAACAGTTCAGGCTTTCACATCAAGCCTAATATCACATGACAAAGGTCACAATGTAGCAAATTGTCCTTCTACATTTTAAACTTTTACTATTTCAACTGTTACAATGAATTAACAGTTGTAATCCTCACAGCAGAATACATTTAGCCTATGAATGCCTGATATAGATGCCATTTTTTCCTTAACAGCTTTATGAAGTACCGAGCTAAGTATAGTGGAGTAATTATGCCAAGAACCATTGTAAAATATCAGAAAACTGCTAGGGAAAAAAGAGGATAAAGCATCAAGTTCTAACAGGCTGTAGAGAATGTAAGTGCATTTGTAAGGCTCTGCTTTTTAATGAAATATGTAGATGACATAAACTTATGAAAGAGCAAGACATACATACAGTGAGAGGAATGCTTTATAACACTGAAGTGAGCATCACTGCGACATCATTCTGCTAGCTAAAAAGAAAATCCTGATCATTGGAATAATTAACATGCCATGTGAATTCTTGATGATCTGAATACTATCAGGATGTCGTCAGTGAGTTATTTTAGACATATAACTGCCAGAAATTTTACACAGTACTGTTGAATTACAAGAGAGAAACATGGTCTTGGCTCCCGAAGGACTTTCAGTATCACCAAACTTGCAGGCAGGCAAGACACTGTCAATTTGTATGAGGGCTGCTCTGAAAGAAATGCCTTGTGAATTTTTATGGAGATGCAGCAGTGGATGTGAGCACAGTGGGTGTTGCTTTTCAGAAGTGAAGACAGCAACGGTGTGTCACCACTGGTGCAGATATTTATCAGCGCAGCATGCAGGCTTTCATTCATCACTGGCAAAAATGCATAGCTAATGGTGACTGTTGAAAAAAGGTGTTTTGTAACTAAGAATTTGCTCTATCAAACAGTGTTATTGCACTCTGATCTGTTGCTTCCATGGAAATAAATAGGAGATATTACTTTCAGAGCAACCTCCATATACAGTTTAAATTACTTCACTCAACAATTTGGGATACATGTCTGTGCTGTTATTCATAATAATTGCAATTTTTTTTACATTCATTGCTTGCTTGACCTTTTTACTAAGATTTCTATAGCAATACCCGTGGATATTTGAGGACTGTTTCACTGACATTATTCAGTGCTTTGGAAATGAGAGTTTGTAAAAAGTGATTATCACATTACCTCTTATCAAGGATGATCTCAGATGAACTTTTTTCTCTCTATGAATAATTTTCTACTTAAATTCAATCAGTTCTGGAAGAAAAAAAAAATTACAGTAAAAAGCATATGAAAGTTATTTGCAGCGTCAAAAGGAGACTGAAGAATGAAAATGGATCTTTGCAGGAGAAATGCAGTTATCAGTATTAGACTTGTCCAGGCTGCCAGATTTAAAATCACTACTTTTGTAGAAAGGATCAAGTGATGTTTATTTGCCACAAGTGGTTTTCTTTCACACACACATTAAAGAAATGTGTGAGTAGATTAGTTCAGTAAACACTGAGAGAAGAACCACCTACTGAATCACCAGCAACACGTCTTGCTGCATACTGAGCTTCCTTTGGTCTCTCCTCCAAGAGATGACTAAGTTCGTTTTTCCTGTCAAAACACTACTCCAAGATGGAAAGGCCTTATTTTATGCTGGGATGGTAGAAATGTGGTATAGTAAGTAAAACAAATATTGTGTATTACAAAAGGCAATTATAAATTTTCTTGAAGGAAAACACAAAATTTGGTCTGCTCCTATTATTTATCTACAAAAATTGCATTCCTCTATGATGAAATGTACCAAAGGAAATTTCACATTAAAAAAAAAAAAAAAAAAAAAAAAAAAAAAAAAAAAGCAGCTCACTTTCAGCTTTAATTTGAGATCCAGTTATCTGAATATTATAAAAAGGTATTTTCCAAAGCCAGATTTATTGATTTGTTTCCGTTCTTCTTACTTGGGCTGTTGTTTGCTTGATATTTGTGTATCTTAATTTAGCTAGATTTAGCTTGTATCAATATTGGACCATACCTGTAGGTATATTTGCATTCACATAAGGACTGGCTGCAGAACAGAATAATGTAGCTTATTCACACCTTCTTTTTTCTGTTTGAGAGGTTTCTTAATGATGGAGACATGCGTGTTCACATAGCACAGATGGTGATTGTCAATATGCTTATTATAGGTTTAAATTTTTTATTTCCTCATGAGCAGAAGTTCACATATTTTGTTTTCTCTTATTTTTTTTTTCTTTCTGTGCTCTCTTTCTATATATCTGTATGTTATAAAAAAAAAACTGCAATTAACTTATCATATTAAAATTAATAGATTATTGTATGTATATTATCATAATTCATTGTAATAAATTGCTGTTTATATATTTAAAGAAAGACAGTCTTTAGATTGAAATAGCGTTTATAGTCATATAAATTTACTTTTCTTTCTAGCATACCGATTAGTTATATTTGTAATGGTTTCTTTTAGACCAAACTCTTTTTGGGTGGAAAATATTTTCCAGCCTGTTCTACTTACAAAACAAAAAGTAGTCCTGAAGAATTTGGTATTCTATGGTAAACAAAGTTTTTAATTAGTTGTGTTTTCTGTATCGTTGCTTTAACAGGTATGCTGAAGCTAAATGTCTTGGAGAAAAAATAAATGAAGTGAGAAATAAAATAAGTGAGTACATGTCAGCTTCATTTTACATCTATAGCTGATGAAATCACAGCATTCAGAGGATATATAAAGAGATTTAATTTCTAAAATAGGTGAATCAATCTGTTACTAAGATTTCCAAAGAGATAAATTACCTTATGTTATTAGTAATAATTTCATGTATCAATTTTAATCTGAGTAACGTGAAAATGTGATTATTGCAAATAACATGATTATTGAAAATAATGTGAAAAACAGATCTGTTCTTTATTTGATAGGAAGTCTTAAATATAGCAAAGGGAGAAGTTAAGATATTGATATTGGATTTCCTGAATTTCCTTGTGGGATGAGAGGATCCAAAAATTATTGTTTCAAATTGTGATATCTGTGGATGAAGAGCTGTATTTTATTTTTAATTTCATATAGCTTTTGTTAGAAGAAGCTTTCTTTGTTTAATCACTCCTCTGCACTTCCTTCATAGAGATTACTTGGAGTGATTAACTGAAGTCCTGCAGCTTAGTGGGGGAATTCTTCATTTTTTATTTTAGGGTGCCAGCAGCATATATTTGGCTTCCAATTTCAAATCATTCGAAGCCAAAAATCACCTAGACATATACTGAATGCAAGCGAGGTTTTATCCAATCCTCCTTCCAGCCTTGATATCTTCCTAGGTTATTTCTGAGTTCTGTTGAGGTCTGACATCCTTCCTAACAGCTGACTATCCAGACTCTATATCAAATGTGAAACGTAGCTTTTGTCTTTGGAGATCAGGTCTGTGTTCTTTTGTATGTAGACATTCAGGTGTACCAAATCTCTTCGAGATTCAAATACAGACTATGAGGAAGTAACTTTACAGGCAATTCGGCATTGAGGTGCGGCTCCCAGTTTCTATCTCCTTTCTTTGTAGGTAATATCAGCAGATATGGGCAATAACTCATCATCATCACTTCTTGTCTCCTAATTGCATTTGATTGCTGGAAAAGGACAAAAATCTCAAAGCCTTCTTGATGATTGCTCTATACTTTCACCATAGTTGTGATTATATTCTGCATGGCAATGAATGGTAACTACAGCCAGATTCTGGTCCAAGTCATTATTAGGTACATCAAAATGCCTACTTGGGAATGCTACACAGTGTATTTAAAATTACTACGTGGAAAATTTCAGCCATGATGGCACAGTTTGTTCAAACCTCTGCACAAGGATGTTTTGAAGTGATGCAGAACCGGAGACATCCATTGCAGAGCCAGTGTTCTGAATACTGGGTTGTTTCTACAAGACAAGGCACATCTGTTGAGCCATCAGGTCAGGATACAACTTCTTTTCCTCTCCTTCTGTCCCGAAGTTCATAATGACCTGATTTAATTCTTTCTCCTGGGTTTACTTATATGTGATATTTAGCCCAAATGAATTCTTGGCATAGATTGAGGTAGAGACAAAGTCAGCACTGGGTGTCAAAATTCTTTCTCTTGCTGAAGATGTAATCCATTTTAGAGCAAGCATAGAGAATACCAGCAATGAACAGTCACACTCTAGCACATAATTCTCAGTGCCAGAGGCTGTAATAGTGATGCTTGAGGATAGGAGCCTAGTGGCCACCTTACTTGCACCTTGTATTTAAGTCGTCTTTTTTTTTTTTTTTTAATTTTGGTTGTAAAATGGAAGAGGTCCTTTCATTTAGTTCATACTGTAACATTTCTGTATGAGCAACAGATTCCGTCCATTACATTCAGATTCCATATGGATATGCTGATCTCTGCAGACTATGTAGTGCTTTGTGGATTGTTGTAAAGCACCAATGTTTGAGGTTTGAGAGTGATCATATCATACAATCTTTCCTTAAAGTCTTTCTGTGTAAGGTTATGCGGCATGGAAAATTAGCACTCTGGTTAATATACATAGTGTATTTTATTCAGCTCTTCTCTTCTCCTGTCCAGCTTGTATCTAATCACAATTGTAAATAAATCTGCCTATTAGCATCAATCTAAAAGTTATTAAACCTTTGCATCAAGAACAAAACTTTATGGCTTATTCAGCTTACCAAATGCAATTGCTTTGGTTAGCATAGTTCAGCAGCCTGAAAAAACATTCATTTGTCATGTTCATAGTATGCATAACATTAAAGATACTAAGTAAGGCTATTTATCTGCCACATTTTTACTGAAAATATGGCAGGAAGAATGAGTCCTCTGCAGCCTGCAACTGGATCTTTCATTTACTTGTATTGTTATTTTGGTTTCCTTCAGAATTCCTGTCTGCCTTGTGCACAATCAAGAACAGATCCCATCAATATCAGTTTCTTCTATTTCTAAGCTATATTTAATAGTATAAAACTATGCACCACAGAGGTCATAAAGCACATTTCATGCAGTCTGATTACATTCTGAGATAGTGACAGCAGTTGGCTGTAACTTGTGTGTCATAAATATCTTTTCATTCTGACTGGAAACGTGTTTTTCAGTACACAGAATAATCTAACCACTTCTCAATTGCATTAGCATTTCAAAAACACGTCAGGAAGTTAAAGCTGGAAAAAGGAATCTGGAATAAGATTTTCGTGGTAGGCTTTTGCTGATGTTATTGCTTGCATAAAAAGATTAAGGAAAACATAGTCTAGATGCAAGCTGGATGTGAAGTGTAGAGTGACTGTAACATAAGAAATGAGACATTGTGGCTAGCGTGCCCCTTTGCTACTATACCACATGTTCCTGGATTCTGCTTCCTTTTATGCTTAACAGCACTGCGGTGAATGTGGATATTTTAAAATTATTTTTATGAAGAACAATATGTGTCTCTCAGATTTTTCATCATGATTACTTTTCATCATGACTTAGAAATAAGTAGGAGAATTTTCTTGTAGGATGAAAGTTTTATTCATCTAATATTCAAATAGATAGATAAATAGATAGAAAGAAAGATAGATAGGAAGAATAATGGGAAAGTTTTTCTAGCCCAGGTAATTTTAGTGATCCATTTTAGGCACAAATAAGGGAGTGGAGGGTTTTGGTGCAAGGATTGAGGAGCAAGAGAATGAGCACTTCTTTTTCGAGGTCAGTATGTATCAGAGGCAAGGGCTTCTCTATAAGTTTAGTCTTTTTCATTCAACAATACTACTCATAATGAATAAAGTTGACAGTTCAGTTTGTAATGGAAAGCAAATTATCACAAAGTCAGAAACTCTCTCTGAGGTGAAAGAAATTTGCTAATGTTTAGATTTTCCTTTCTTTCCACAAAATCTAATAAGCTTTCAGATGAAATTCAATGTACCTAACTTGTGTAAATTAATTCATGCTAATTAATAAATTCTAAGTAACTTCGGAAATGCCGTCTCTGTTCAATCACTGCAAAGCTCTCATTCAGCACAGGAACAGGAATCATCCATCACCCTATAGGGAAGGTTCCAGATTGCTGAAGATGTTGATAAACAGAACGGTCAAAAATTGCATGCATGCATTCCAGTTTATACAGTTCCTTGTCATTCATGAATAGCATCATGGAATGCATAGGACAATACTTGAGAAGAAAGTGATGCAGAGATATAGCATCACCTTGTTAAGGTTAGCAGGAATTTTATTTTTAGGACACAGTTATCAACAAGAGCTTTTTATATCATTACCAAGAGCATCATTGAGACTAAGGAGAAAAGACAACATCTGAACAAACTGTTAAATAATAAATACCAAGAAAAAGCCCCAAGTGTTCCTTTATGGATAATACAGCAGAGTTGGGGGCATTAAGCATACTGTTTTCAATGTGGGTGAAAATGACACATTCATTCAGAATCTAGTGACTAAAAATATTGCTCATACACAGGAATGTGCTACACATTAATTGCATTTCAGATTGGTAAACATTTCCAATTCATCTCTGTAAATGTCTATTTTGGAGTACTTATACCAGTATTAGGGTTAGTTTTTTTCCTAAGGAAAAGTGTACTACATGGTATTTAATGCCCAAAGGAAAGGAAAGCAGCTGTTGTTTTTTGTCTGTCCAGAAATCAGCTAATGTTGTTATTGAAGCTGAGAGAGAAAGGGCAAACTCATGTGGGAGTAATAACAGTGTGAGGAAACAGGCACTCTTGGAATTAGAAAGGGTAGGTGGGTGGATTATGTGCACATGATGTTGACGATGCGGCTATACCCACAGGAATGCTGAGATGTTGCACTGCTCTGCCTCACTTCAAGCTTTGAATTTAGTGCACATGACCATAGGATACCAAAACCGATGACAGTATATAATGAAGTAATGTTCTTGTATTACAAAGCAAGGTTATTGAAGGATCTTTATCTGATTTCCTTGCAAATTGCTAAAATAAAATAAAGTTGTCCTTATGTATTGCAGTTCATGGAGTGTTACACTGAAATGGTGGGGTTAAGGGGAGCGTGAGGGCAAGACGTAACAGTGCTCAACTGATTCTGATTCACTGTCTTACACATTGCACATAAAACCTATTCAGAACATAAATAATGTAGATCCTGTATTTATGATCAACTTTTCTCTATGTGCAAGACTCTATCCATATATACATGAAAAGTTACAGTAAGAAACAGGGAATGGGGGCAACTAGGAAGAGAGAAAAAAGGCTCCCTTGTAACAACAGTAAAAGTTTAGTGTATATGATCACAATTTTATTTTAATTTTATTCAAAATTTATATAAAATTTATTTTTATTTAAATTTAAAATGAGCAGACAAGTTATGAAAGTTGATAATTAAAATGATGGTATAGAAGACCACTGATGGCAAGATTTTTATTTGAAAAATATATGTAATGTCTGATCGCAGCTGCTACTTCTGGTCAATTCTGCTCTGCTTCTATTTTCCAGTTCACATTTTTTTCCATCCGAAAACATCTAGGTGTTCTTGTCTGACAGCACTCTGTTGGCTATTTTGTCGATCTTCAAAGTTTTATCTTTGCATGTAGGCATAAATTACTTTCTTTCAGGAAGGAGAATCTATTGCTTAAAAATTAGAATATCAAGGATGGTTCTAGGAATATTGTGCATATTTTAGGCTATGATTATA